GTTCTACGGAAATAAGTTTCTAGTGAAGATCTATGTACGTATGAAATTTCAGCTTTCTATCTTAAAGGCTGTAGAAGTTTTGTAAACAAAAAAAGTGTCCACGGACGGACGGACGGACGGACGGACGGACGGACGGACGGACAGAGTGAAACTAATAAGCACTTTTTTCAAAAAATTTTTTGGAAAAGTGCTAAAAATAATCGAAATGACAGACGAAATCTCCAATAACTTCTGTATTAAAAACGATAACTGTTCTGCAAATAAAAACGAATTTCATTATCGAGATGCACTTTGCATGTCACAAAATTTTTGCAGATATTTTATAAATGAAAATTGCTTACGAACATAAACTTAAGAGTTGAATATAAATCTAATCGCCGATTCAATAGGATTGCACATTATATGTAAAACTTATTACACTTTTAAGATTAAACTCAAAAAAGGTGCAGTAAAGCAAAATTATAATTTATTTAATTTTTTAAAATTTAAATTTTTTCTTTCAAATTATTAAAATAAGCTTCAATTTACGTAACGTTGCTAAAAAATATTAGTAACTAGCAGAAATAGTAGAATAACGGTCAATTCAAATATGTCCCCAAAACAAATTTTTCTCCATATCTATATTTTTAGTGTAGACCTGCTAATAACGAGAATTTTTTTTTTAATATAGACATAAAATCATGTGCTATGGGAATCTGAATAATGATACTATTGTATTGTCATATAAATTTATGAAATTCATAGAAAAACTACGTATAGAAATTTGATTGAAAAGATGGATTACTATGCATAGAAGGAAATTTTCATAAGAGATCAAGATTTACTTTTAATGAATTATACTATGTATGTGAAGGACTCTTAACTTTTCTTAAAATTTTCTGCTATAAACTATAAAAATTATTCTGGCAATTTTAATTTGTAAAAGAAAATGAATCCTCTTTCAAAATATTTAATGCTTACTTAAGTATTTGTTATCATCGCTAATATTGTAGTAATAAAATTTTTTTCTTAATTCTTCACCAACATTACCAACGAAAAACAAGCTTCTTTAAATCCCACATCATTAAAAAATTACAATTTATTTTTTATCCATCATAATTTTTGCGTTCCGATGTTTTTTTACTTTTTAATTCAAGTGTCCGTTCGTTTTTTATCATAATGTAAAAATAAACTTTCAATATTCGTTCTTGTTTTTATCTTCTACTCTGCTTTTTTTAAGAATACAATAAAATAATTTCTGTTTATCTATTAAAAACAAATGAAAATTAATGAATTCATAATAGGTAATTGAGGTAGTGTTGAAATTTTAAGTGCCCCCATCTTTACTCTACAATATTGTACTCTTCATTTTTGTTAATAATATTTCTTAAGCTAAGCTAAGTAGCACTTAAATTTTTTTTTCCTTTTAATGTTCTGATTATTTTTTTTTTTTTTTGGAATTTTTTATCATGAATAATATGACAAACAAAAAAAAATTTAAGCTCCACAAGGGGTGGTAAATTCGGTAGGAATAAAAATTTTCATATCCACTGGATATTATCCACTTTAAATAATTTTCATAAAAATGAAAAGGAGGCAACTTGAGAACAAATTTTTTGTATTACATATTTTATACAAAGTCAATCATTTATATTAAAATTGATTCATACTTTTAAATGAAATACGTTTCTGTAGTAACTTGTACAAAAAGCAATTAAGCTAAGCATTTGGCATTATCATTTTGTATTTTTGTATAATGGATGGGATATTGTTTGTTAATTTTAAATCATTTAAACTTGAAGATGATTTTAACGCTAATTTCCCTATTTGGGTAACAACCTCTTTTAAGAGACACTGATGTGAATATTAGTACCTTTCAAAAGAGGCTGTTTACTATTCCAGTCATGAATCTCTTCTTTCTGATTTTAAAATATTTAATCAAAAATTTCAGAAATCACGAGCATCATTTTTGTGCATGTTTGGGTGTTTTCACTCGACTCGTGTGTTTTAAGCATGGCTTGCAATAAATTTGCTATTAAAATTAAAAAATATTAGATACAGATATTCAAAAATATTAGATATTTATTAGATACAGCTTTCTCCATGAAAACCCTAAAATACTTCAAACTCTATTGATCACAATTTTTCTAGCTCAAGAAATGACTAAAAATGGTTAAAGTTTTTAATACTTGTGCAACCTTATTTAAGCATATCAGGAAGCCAATTTAAGCATATTATTTTCTTTTTTCGAATAAAATTTATGAAGCAATTTCGTAAAATTGTTGAAAGCTATTTTTAATAGAAAATATTTTTTATAGAAGTATTTTCCTTATATGAGAATTATATTTGCTAGTTATAAAAGTCACTTATTCACTTGTCCGAGTTATTTGATCTTTTGCTACTTCTTATAAATTTTCTTTAAATCCACGCCATTTTAAATGTTACTCAAATTTTAATAATCTAGATTTTAAAATATACGATTTCTGATAATATTTCAAAATTTCTTAAGTTACAATGTCTTAAAAGCACTTTTTATTATTTTCTAATGCGTTTTTTAACCCTCATTTCAATTGAATTTAAATTAAAGTTACGCGTGAGTTCGGTTAAGGAGTCTTTCTTGCATTTTCCTTTCCGTTTTTGTTCTTCCTTGAAACAGATTTTATTTTTCCTTAGGTAGCGTTAAATTTAATCAGTTTCCGTAACATTACTACTAATTCTTTAACTTTCCTCACCGCATTCATAAAAATAGCATGAAATAGAATTCCATTATTTTTTCATTTAATCCTTTTTTATTGTGCTATATTGTATAAATTAATATCTACGATTTTCTGATGAGGTAATTTAGCTGCTTTCTATCATTTTTTACATTGTTTATTACTGTAAATTTCTTTGAAACAAAAAAGAAAGGGTAGAATAAATTTTAAGGTTGAAAGAACATATTTTATTTTTTTTTGTTTTCAGTTAATTTCGTAATTCTTTTTTTTAAATTTTCTTATACTCACTCATCTTAATGACAGCAAGAATGACAATGAAATTTAAAGGAGCAAACAAAGAATTTTTTCAGGTCCATTTATTTAAAACCATTTATAAAGAAATATTCAAATTAATCTTAAGAAGGAAAAATTTGTGAAAATTATGAAAAGGTTCATAGAATGGCAGATATTTTTTGTAAAATAAATATTTTCAAAATTTAAAATGAAAATTTTAAACAAAATTTTGGTTATTCAAATTTGATTTCAATTGTTTTTTTCATATTGTTTAATGGCTTTTAAAAAATGAATATTTTTAAATTATAAAGGAATAATAAATAAAGAATTCAAATATTATTTTAAAAAATTGTGGCAGATTAGAACAACTTCCAAAATTTCTCAAAATAACTATTAAATAAGTTTGAATGTAAAATTTTGCTCAAACTTTTGAGAAATATGCAATCTGGGTTTCTAGTTCCGCAACTGAATAATTTTAAACACTATTATTAAAATGGATTACAAAAAATGCACAATTTTTCCTATTAGTATTTTCTTTGAATCTAAATTCATTACAAGTTTACCTACCCATGATAGAATTAAAATTATAATTAAAAAAATTAGAATGAAAGGGAACAAAAACTGTAGTAATTTAAAATTGGGCTTTAAGGCTATTTGTAAGAGAAAAGTTTTTAGAAATGGTATGCGTGTACTCGTATGTACTTATAAACTTCCAATGTTTAACAAAAATTCAATTTTGATATCACTTAACCTTAACAAAATTATTGTGACAATATAAAATAAGGCAAATATGTCAAAAGTTTAAATTTAACAATACAGTAAGGTCTCTTTTTATGCATTTATTATTTTAATTCGCTTTTGAAATTGTTCAGTTTGTACTTCATCTAATTTCTTAAACAAAACCCACATAATATAGGCTTAGAAAGTTTGTGTTGTTTAGAAAGTTTGCGTATATAGACAGTCACCAAAAATCATGGAACGCTCAAATCTCACTTTATTTGTCCAACTAAATTTACCTTAACTTTTCAGATTGAAATGTAAGTGTCTGCTTTTGAAGGTGAACTTTTTTAATCTGGGAATTCTCCTTTACATTATAATTACAATCGACAAATCGCTTTTACCATATCCTGAGTTTCGCATTAAAAGGAATAAACTGTAAATTTTTTTTATAAATGGAAGGTTTAAATTTTTTCTAATTTCAAGTTCCAGCAATAAGAAGAACATTTTAATTTCTTGCTTGAAACATAAGTCGTTAAGATTTATTTCTTATTAGAAAAGATTTTTGCATTCTTAATACCGTAAGTCCACATTTTTCTAATTTCTTTTCTACAATTTAGTTGAAAATTAATTTTAACTTCTGTTTTGGTTTTATACGATTTTAGAAAATTACGAAATGTATCTCTACTTTTTCTAGGCAAGTAAAGTTTTTATTACAAATTTTTTATATACACTTGCCGCAAAAAGCAAGACCTTATTGTACTGGTTAATACTTTAAGTAAAACTTTCCCATGGAACATTACGTGTACTAACATTACTATTACCTATAATTATAGTCTACCTGATAACGTTAATTTCGTACGTTATATATTTTATTCAATGCAACAGGTATATGTGGTATTTATTCGAAATTTGATAAGAATTTCTTTTTATTTTATGTCCTGCTGTTAGAACAAAAAAAAACCTTCAAAAAGTATATTGTACAGTTACGTATTCAATAAACTATAACATAAAAAACCTAGTAGTAAAAAAAAACACAAAACCACATTATTTCACAGCATGAAATTTCAAAATGATAAATTCTGATATCATTGGTTTAAACCAAATATTGTTTATTTAACTCAAAAATTCATACCGTACATATAAAAAGGCAAAGTAAAAATGAAAATTTGTTTCATTCGTCAGTTTAGCATTTTCCTATTTGCATCAATTCATAAATAATATTGATCATATATACATAGAACGAAATGTATATAACATTGAAGCAATTAATTTTTATTGGGATTCTTTCGATTGCATTTGCTCGATTAACAAAAGAGACACCACATTTTGGTTTTCCAGAAGATGACATAAATTTAGGACGAATTATTAATGGTAAAGAAGCAACACCACATTCAGCACCTTATATTGTATCATTAAAACGTGGTATTAATGGTTCACATTTTTGTGGTGGTTCATTAATTCAACCCAATTGGGTATTAACAGCTGCTCATTGTCTTACTAGAAATACATATATTGTTGCTGGTTTACATAATCGTAATGAAGATAAAGATGCCCAAACTATAAAAGTTATTGAAAATTTTGGTCATGAATCGTATACAGGTGGTGTTGGACCATATGATATTGCCTTATTAAAATTAGAAAATTCTGTTGAATTAAATGATAAAGTGCAATTAATTGAATTGCCAGAAGATGAAAATCAACAAACTGGTGAGGGAATATTATTTGGTTGGGGTCGTGATAATCCATCTGGTGGTGGTTTACCAAAAAATTTAATGACTGTAACAACTGATTTATTACCATATGATGAATGTAAAGAAAAATTACCAAAAGATGCACCAATTCATTCAACAAATATATGTTCAAGTTCAAGGGATGAAAAAATTTCTGCATGTAATGGTGATTCTGGTGGTCCATTAATAAAAAAATACGATGATAAAGTAGTTCAAGTTGGTGTTGTTTCTTGGGGTTACGTTCCATGTGGTCAAAGAAATTATCCTTCCGTTTATACACATACTGGATCACATTTAAAATGGTTAAAAAGTCAAATGCCAGAATTTTAATAATATTTTTCTTAATGTATGTATTTAAATTTTTTAATTTTTTAAAATTTTAAATTAGAAATGAATTAATATAATATTTATAATGGCTGTTTAAAAATTTATGAAAGCATTTACTAAATTTTTTGATTTAATTCGGAGGAAGGTGGAAAAACAAGGTCTTAAAATAAATAATAAATACAAATCTATAATATTTTGAAGAAGATTAAATTTCAAGATTAAATTAGCATTGTTTGCTATATGTAAAACTATATTCCTAATATACATATGTATTTGAATTGCATAATTTTAATTTATTATAATATGTTGCTGTTCTTAGAACTGACATTGGCCTCTTGTAAACTATACTACAAAGGGAGGCCTAGGTAAGTTCCTAATTGAAAATTGTCTAAAAGTTCTTCAATTTTTCTTTTATTTAAAGCAAGACCCAATTGATACAGTCAAATACTTTCCTCTTTGACTGGAATTTATTCTTATCAATGTCAAATATTTGATTTACTTTTTTATTATTTCAGCTTGTCTATCATTTGATTTAAAGAAATTTCGCGATATGGAATCTATTTAATTGATATCCATATGGCTTCTATTTCTATAACAAGTCTTTAATTTTTGATTTTTGGGAAGAATTCAAATTCATTTAAAAATAATCATAATTTTGTTTTTATTTTCGAAAAAATTCAAAATTTGTTAAATATAGTCACCTGTATACACTTAAAAATCGTGAATTTAATGCTGCAACTAGCTAACTCGCTATTATTGATTTGGAGATATTGACTGTTAAAGATACAAAATTTAGCAATAACAAATAATTCATCATGAAGATGTCTAGTTTTGGCATTATCATTAGATATTGGTCGCAGATGAAAGAGAATTCGATTTTATGACGCCACTAACGATAATAATTGTAGCATTAACGATAATAATTGAGGCCTTTATCACATTAGTAGCCTACATTCGAAAATGACATTTTGAGTAAAATGCGATTCAAATATTTAATTTTTAAGAAAATGTTTAAAAGGCAAAAACGAACTTATGTCCAAATAGAATGAAAAGTGAAGTATTTTGGAAATCTAGAACAATTCTTTAGGCCATTACAGCTCTATATTAAACATAATAACTCACTTTTGTAAAAATGTGAGCGCCTCTAATTATATATTCGAATTTAGCAATATTAAAAAATATTTGAAAAACATTACTTATGAACAGAACGTAACGTTGTTCTATAATCAAAAGTACGTAAATTGTACTTTTGATTAGGAACTTTAAAATTTAATATTATATTACGTTTCCACTATTGAAGCTCTATTGTTAATAATATTTATATTTTTCAACTTTTAAGTAGTTATCCTAACGACAAGCTTAAATTTAAAAATAGAACATAACTTAAAAAATATTTAAGGAACGCCTAAACTTATGTCATCTTTCTTTGCAAAAGGTTTTCTTTTTCTCAGAAACGGAATTCATCCTACACTTATGCAAGAATACAAAATATATAAGACAAGAACATAAAGCAAAAACAGATTTCAATTTATTTTTTTAAATTAAATAATTTGCCGTAAACTACATGGACTTGCTACTACTCAAAATTTACAACAGCCACAATTTGCTAATAAAAAATTATTACTCACATTGGACTTTTAATAATAATAAGGAAATTGAAAAAAAAAAAAATTATTTCGAAATAAGATTTTCTTTTGAAATCTTCATAAACTTTTTTTGTTGGATAGGATCAAATTTACCTAACCTAAAAATTCACTTAATTTTGCCATAAATATATTATTTTATACAATACATGTATACTACAAAGCTATATATATATTATAGAATTTAGAATGAAATTTAAATACCAAACAACCATTTCATTTCCATGGAAAATTTCTCTCTGGGTAATTCTAAAAAATCCAAAATATTATGATAAACAAAAAAGTTTCTCTTATATTGTTCTTTTTTTATTTCTTATTCAATTTTTCTTCCATATTTTTGTGACAATTATTGAGACCGTCTTTTAAAGTTTCAAAAATATATTTTATCTGGTATAAGAAGTAGTACACAGGATATACATTTAAGTAATGGTGTTTAATATCGACGGTCCCAAAAACAAACTGTTTACAATAATACCAAAATGAACTTCAAATATTATTTAAAATTTTGTTTGTTAAATAAAAATAACTTTAGTCGAAAATTATGATTGCTTTAAATTATTTTCATAACATTAATTGATTCAATTACAACTTTCCAAAACGGGCACTGAATAGCGTTGCCATATTAATTTCGCAGAAATTTATAGTGTTGCCATAAAAATTTCGCTAAAAAATTTGCAAAATCTGGCAATATAGAAAAAAAACTGGCATCAATTCTGATAAGAAACACCGCTTTTATATTTAATTTAAGCACTCTTATTAGAGTTAAATTTTACATACAGCACAAAATTGCTTATAAAATGAGGTTTAATTTCTATATCCGCCCTATAATAAAATAATAAAAACGCCCCAACTTCACAAACAATTCTTCACAAAACAAGAGATTTAAAGTGATTTGTCAGATCCGGTAAGAAACCTGGTCATCTGGCAGATCAGTGAAAAATTTTGAAAATTCGGATAAATCTGGCAATACGGGAACGCTAGTATCAATAACTTAATACCTATGACTGTACAAAAAGTACATTATGGGCATAAGTGGCTGAAGCCCAATGGAGATGCATATAAATAATAATTAGTTGAGCAACTATTTAACGTGTACAAGTAATTATTACGATAGAAATGAGCATAACGCTTTGTGAGCAAATAAAAAGCAACAAAACAGTTCCCGAAAGTTTTTAAAAAAAAACTGCTTACGTTATTGCATTCAGTTAGATCTTTAATGGAAAATCTCTCTTACGGATTGACGCTTAAAAATTCCTACCATTTATTTTTAACATTTTTCGACTCATAGGATTTATAAATCTTTTTATTAGAACCATCGATTATTACATGCATACGTATCTATAAAATAGGTAGGTACGTGCCTTCTTATACAACTGTATTATTAAAAAAAATATTCAAAAATACAAAACTTAAAACAAAAGGACATTTTACGATAAGTTAAAAATCAAATTGCTTCAAGACATTTTATGTTTGAACGAAAAAAATATTATCTGTTCCTTATTATTGTTTCTAAACAGGCAAACAAAGTAATGTCGGTTCAAAGGAATTTTTTTTTAGAAATTTTATTTTAAAATTTTCATAATAAAAAAAACAAAACAGAAAAATTTTAAATTAAAATATCAAAAATATTATAGAGCTCTTCTTTTCCCTTGCAAAAACATGATACAAAAGAACTTTTCTGCAGAAGAATTAACAGCAGAAAAAAAGATATACAAAAAATGTCATTTTATAAGTTTAAACCCTCATCAACAGCGTTATACAAGTTATTATATCACATCAAATAGCATAAAAAGATAAAAAATAATAATAATAACAAAACAAACATATTATATTCTAAATTTCAAAAACAGGACAACGCTGTAACATAAAAACTAAGAGAAATAAAAAAGGATATTGGGATGACTATATGAGAACTCTTTGTCATTTTTATTGTGTATATTAGCCTTAAAACTTTTTAGCTTTTATTCGCTTATTTGGCAGTTCAATTAACCTTATCCTTTCTTTAGTTTTAAAATATATCTTAGTATACAATACCATATGTACAATGATATGAACACAGGATGTGATATTTTGTACAAGCGTATATAGCGAATTCAATATGTGTATACATAGATGTATTAACATTTTGATAAAGTGAGGTCCTTTTTATTGAAATCAATAACAAAAATAAAAAGAAATAAATTTGCTTTTGACATTTCCTACTTTTTATGTGTATATGAGCACTTGTATATTGTGATACTTATAATATTGACCACTTGATATCTTAACCTAATAGATTTTAATAAAGAAACGCATTGCTTTGCTTATTGTATTAAAATAATACAATTTTAAAGTTTCCAGCAACAGACCAATAAAGTTTTGTGTTATGCCAACTTGTGCATATATAAAATATTTGTTCTATATTTTACATAGAGACAAATTTGTGTAGAAACAATTCGATATTATGTGTTTAAATACAGAATAAATATATTGTAGGTTGATTATTAGAATAACCTAAAAGGTCTATTGTGAGTCCAAAAAAAACGGCCACATGTTTTGCTTAAAATATCTCTTAGAGACTCATACATCTGAGGAAGTCAAGTAACATTTCTTCGGAAACATCCAGAAACGATTTGTCCACCAACTAAGCCTACCAGAGTGCTTATCTAAATAAGCCCTAAAAAACTGGATTCTCCTTTTATAAATTAATACTACACACTCAGCAAGAAGTTGAGTCATAGTTCATCTTTTCTTCCTTCTTTCTTAAATCGGTAACTTCAAAATTCTTGCATCAAACGCCTTCAATTATAATTCAGAATAAATAGATATAAAATGGTTTACCTATAAATCCGAGCATTTCTGTTAATGCCAGTAAGCTTCTCTTCACCTTTTCCTTGAATACGTTTTCAGATTTTTTTTTTAGCAATTTTTTTACTTTATTCAATTTCAATTCTAAATACAGAAAGAATTAAATATTAAGATCTAATACGCAAACTTACCATCGTCGATCTGTTTGTTGCTCCACATTGATAAACTGGGACAAAAATACTCTTTCCAAATTTTAGAAGATAAAATACAAGCTAAGCAAGTGAGTGTATATTTTGATAGATCTCAAACATTTCAATTAAGTGTTCATAGAGAAATGTAGAATATATAAAATCTCATAAAATCGAAAGAAATTAAGATAAAGAATTGCACAGTCAGGCAAATATAAGTTCGATATTGTATTAAACATTTCTTATTATGCTTATTATGTATGCTACGCAATCGGTAAGAAATTCATTCATTCAAAATTGTTAAAAGCTCAACTTTGAATTAACAAGACCAAATGAATTAAGAATGACATTATTATTTAGTTAGATGAATTCAGTTTATACAGAT